GACCGCGGGTGATCTGCTTGACTAAAACAGAATGTCGGTTGCGACGGTCTCGCTACCCTAGCCTGTTCGAAATTGTCAGTCGGTATTGTGCTGCATACATAACCTGCACTTTCTCCCATCGCGGATAGTCCGATTTAGGCGTCACGCCAGTAGATAATGAAAGACCCAATGGATAAGTTGGTAATTTTCACATGGATGTTGGTAATCATGGTATTGGGACAACTTCAGAATTTTTGGTCACAGTTTGCATCGCTTATTGAGAGCACTATGTTGATTTTTCTGGTGCGTAAGCCGCAGCCCGACTCCAGTCCAGTTTTGCTCTGATCATGGCTTTCTGCTGAAACACCTCTAGTGCAGTCTCAATATGAGTGTTCGGCTGAGGACAGCGTCCAGTTACTTCGGCGTCATTTCTTGTTTCATCTGCTGATTGCATTCGTGCAAGTACTATTTTAGTCAACGAATGCGTTAAATACAAAAGCCCTTGTTTTTCTCAATTTCAAGTTAGCAGTAAGAACAAAAGTCATCTATCCGTAGACGACAAGCTCTACAGATGGACACTGGCCATCATCAAAAGCAATGATCACGTCCAGCTTGCGGAACTGAAGGAAACAGTCGCTTTTAGTAATTCATGGTATCGGTATGAACTTCAAAAATCGTTTGTCTTGAATATACCCATTGAAACTGTTGTCCGTTAACACTGAGCGTTTCTACGTGATTTTCAATTTCAGGTTGAGCAGTGTCCATGCACAGTACAGATAAACACGATGGTCTGCAAGCAGTACAATCCAAGCTATATGGCGACTACTCTAGAAGAAGCTCTGACGAACTTTCGCAACCAGCTGTATCTTAAACCTGATCAAGGGACGTACATGCTGCCAGAATTTCAGGTGCCGCCAAATTTCCAGGTGAGTTCGAACCAAAAAAACAACAGCAACAAATGGAAAATGTCTGCTCTATCGCTGTTGCAGTTTGCGAAATTGGCCAGTCCTGAAGAAAAGCTTAGAGTGATGTGTTCCACGCAGCTATGCTGGGGATGCTTGCAGGTACTTCTGGACAGCATGCTACGCAATGTGGAGCGAGACAACGACATTGCGCTGATTGCTTCCTTCAAATATAGTATGCAGGCCTTGCTAACTCATATGGGCTTGGCGAATAAAGATTACAGGTACCTGTGCCCGAATTATCAAAATGATGTGCTTCAACGAGAGGAATGTAAAAATGTAAACGTGACCATAAGTCAGAGTGATATGCAGAACATAATAAGAAAGATTCAGCGAAACTCATGCAACTGCGCGCAGCCATGCTCTTCCTATAATGCAAATTTTCGCTTCGATGGACGCCACAAAAGAAGCACCACGACTAAATCAGAAGGTAAATATTTTTACTTTACATAAAAACTAAAGTCCTTGTTTGCTGTGCGTAAATAACATCCTCCAGTCTCTATTGTTTTCAGAGTTAATCTGTTTATTTGGTTACTGTAAAACCGTATTGCTACTCTGACACCATTTTCAGTTTAACTGTGCTCCGTACTTTAATTTTTTGCGTACATGTTTTATAACTGCAATAGTCATATTTTGATTTTAGATTTTTTTGCAAACTTCTGCATCAGTGATCGCCAATTACAGTAGCAGTCTTTGAGATATTCTCACAACAGCACTATAACTATCATGTCATACAATACATCATAGCATATTTGACAATGAGCTCAAAATAGTGCTTTCCACACAGCACTGTCTTTGTTTCAGCTTCCCAGACACTCTAAGGGACAACCTTTCAAGCTCAATTTTCACCCCAAAGTAAGTGTTGTCTTCTTTCATGTTCATAATTCTTACTGACTGCATCAACAGGCGCTGGTTAGGCCAGAGAATGTCACAGTTACTGATGATTCTACAAGTCACCTATTGTTTTCAAATAACTTAGTCATATTCCCTTCCTTTCATGCTGATTTTCATTGTGCAGTCGATAGGCGGTTATGCATGCAATGGTTCCGGGCTAAACATTGAGCGCAACACTTATTTAGTCCTTAGTATTTTTGAAAAAGGTACCCAGTGTACTGCATGTTAGCAAAGTGCAACTGAAGACTGATGTTTAGCAATCTCTAGGTGGCATTCACGAGAGACGGTAAGCACTGCGAAGAAATAAACTGGTATGCTGGTCATCCAGGCATGTGCCACAACACAGGAGCTAAATCGCCGCATCATAATCATACAACATCTAAAGATAATGTCAAAATATCTGCTATGCTATAGATCAGTCTTGCTGATATCTATCAATCAAGTTTGTCAACGCATTTACTCTCATTTATGACCATGAGTGCTGGATATTGACAGAGGACGCAGATATTCTCAATTGTGGAATGTTCTTTCTTCATAACAAGAAACGCAACTGGGATGGCTTGCTAGATGATCAGGATGTCAGAGAAGAAATCTCTTAACAAAGAGACTTGGCAACGGCGAGGAGAGACCAAAAGACACCAAGGGAAAACTATTTTTGCTGCTGATCAGAATAATTATGGCATTGCTAGAGGCAGTCAGTATCGGTACGGCCATTTTTCTTTCACCTTGCAGCCCTAAAGAGGCGAGTTTCGGTTTAAGTGTGGGGACAATATTTTTGATCTTCCAACGCAGTGGCAGCGTATAACTTTACTGCCATGTGACCCATATGCTACGAATTTGGTGTTCAGTACTCAGACCTCTAGTGACGACAGTACACCTGGATCCATCTGTCGACTCACCCTAACACTGAGGATCAACACAAGTCTGCATATATAAATCCAATCAAAGCATAATCCACTGCTCTAAAGGATAGATGATAATATACTACATCATGCTTCTTTCAAAGATAAATTCGGCCTTGGCTCACATTCCAACCTTCTAGATTTGCAGTCAATACCCTGCGTGTAATATGCAGAGTTTCTTTAACAGTTTGATGAGGTTTCTCTACCGTCTCCAAAAGCTGCTTCACTGGCTAACCCTATAACTAAATGTTCATGACAGACTTTCATAGCTAACTAGGTGGTATTGTGAATAAACTTCACGCTTTGCCCCCTACATATGATCCGTGCTTTAGTTATAAACGTTTTTTCAGCAACGTAGACCTTCGACTTCATCATTGAAAGCTGAATCCATAATTAAGCACTAAACTGATTGAACTTCGTTTTATTTTTATATCGAATATGCACAGAAAGGACAGTTGGGTTTTGAGAATGGATTAGGAACAAAATTGTTACTTTTAACACGAAAATTTTTGTTGTTAATGAAGTCGTAAAAATACTATCTTTGCTTCATAAATGACCACAGAATCTCCAAAAACAATGGATTTTAATTTTAAACTGCTAAAGACAATTTCAAAGGTAACAACTTCATCATCACGAACAAAATCTGAGTTGCAGACTGAAACCATCATACTTTGCCGAGGGGTTTGAGTATGGCATGAGAAATGACCTTCGCCTGTTTTGAGGTTGTCCATATACAAACGGTTACGAAATATGGAAAGCGCTGACCTGCATACCAGCTTCACAACTCTATGTTATGCCAAACACAAGTTTTTCTGTCTACTTGCAAAATAAAGCAATTGAACGCAAAGAAAGTAGAAAGAAAAAGTTTGTGGTCGCTAGGATTTCATGATTGAGCTCGTTAATGGTAATCTTCACTCGTGCAACGTGGTTCTCAATTCCAATGTCTTTTGTCCGAAGCGTCTTCTTAGAGCGATACCTACAGCTATGTGGTAAGCATATAATAAAATTTCCTGCTTCCTTCCCACATGCAGTCGTTGACTGAACAGCCAGTTAGTGGGTCCAACAAAGTGAATTGAAATAAATCAAATATCCGTTGAGCAATTATTTTGTAAGCGAAACTGTTTTAAACAATTTCTCCTTGAATTTTCAGTAGCATGCCAGGACAGAATGCACAGTTCATCCTCTTTTCGGAAAGATGGCGATGGGCAAAAGATTTGAATCAGAGCTTCTGTATCACACTTTTCTGTCTAAGTTATAAAATGGCTTGTTTGATGCAGTGCTTTGTCTCATTTCCTACGGTCATTAATTCAATGTCAGCCGAATCTTCTTTCGATTTTATCAGTGAGTCGTCAAAATCTACTCAGAGGATAGATGGCCTAACGAAAGAGCCACTGGGCTCTGCTAAAGTACTGTCTACTGCTCATGCTGGATGAACAACTAACAAGATCACTTTAGCGTTAAACCTGAAGAAACAGCTGCTTTGAAACATACGTAGACAGGCAAAATGATTTTTTGGAGATTTTTCAATTCATTGTATGAAGCTGAATGTATCAGAATGCAAATCTCTGCTCGCGCGAAGGGAACGAACAATTTTTGGTACGCTTCGCCGCCCTGTCTGACTTCTGATTGACAGGACCCACGTTATGCCAATTCCTGTTGGCGCAAAGTCCGAATCCAGTACGTTTAAGCTGATACTGTTCTGTGAGAAGACAAAGCTAAGAAATCTCTCTGCGAACAAACCGATGCACTAGATAACTGCGGATAGACAGTCAAGGAAATAGTGAACCAGTTTATTTACCTAAGAAATACACAAAGCTCATCTGAATGAAGTACACAAGATGTGTTGATTGGTTTTAGTATATTTTCCATGAGATCAAAGTCACTTATCATCCAGCTGTCACAATTTTGCCTGAATGGAAAACTTCGTTCCTATTCCTGCTTATCCTACGTCTATTTTGCTTCATGGATCTGAAATACATATTACGTGAATCAGAAGGCTGTGGAAAATCTTAAAATGATCTTGGATACCCAACAAATCGTTTCCATTTCAAGTACCAGGCCTGCTGTGAAAGTCGAGGAAGAGCAATATGAGTGGTTTCCGATTAACTGTGGAGTTCGCCAAGGAGATGTGCTTGTCAACATTGCTCTGAACATTTTTCTCTGAAGCAGCTTACCCTGGTAAAGACGAAAGTTCCTTTCTAGAAGGAAAGAGCAGTTCAGCATATCCGGCTAGCTATTATCTGGCCTGGAGAACGCGATTATGTTGTCTTGGTGAGCAGAACGAGAAGCGAATACTTGATGGCTTCCGTATGCAACAATACTGCGGAAGCCGGCTTTTTTTTCACACCCAGAAGTAAAACGTTATGAGGATCCAATCCAGCACAGATGAACCTACAAGCGGAACAACGAAATCAGACACTTCAGGAGGTTGACCACTTTAAGTATCGCGGGTTCTTCATCTTCTGTGATGACACTATCCAGTAGAGTTAAACGGGAAGATAGTCCGAGCCTCAAATGCTTTTGGAAACCCGTCCAAATATTTGGGCTGAGAAAGCAGTTGCTCATTCCAGAAAAAGTCCATTTGAATCTTTTTTTAATTAGGTCAGTGCTGTTTTACGAAACCGGGACATTTTTGCTAACGAAGGAGCAAGAACGACGTTAATCGGAGTACAGCAAAATTGATTTGGAAGCAAAGTGAGGGTTAAGTGGTAAGATTACGTAAGGAATGACTGTATTCTCTTCCGGGTACAGGGAACCTTAGTAGATGTGAAGAATAGAAAAGGAGACTGGGCATGTTAAACAATCTGATGATAGGCCATTTACTCCTGCCCATAAAGTTCTTATGTGGAAGCCGAAACACGGCAGAGTGTAACATGGAGGAACAAGACAGACGCAGATCTGCTTTATGGAAAAAATACTATTTTACGATGCAAAGGTGGTGCCTTACAACAAAAGTGTTATGAAACTGTGAATGCAACGGACGCCACAAACGAATGACACTGTGCTAATGGAAACAGCTTACCATACGCACTTATATGCACGTACATCTACGAGGGGGGAACGTCTACTAAAAAAACGTTGAAAAATAGTATAAATCTGGAAGATCACTTACCTATATCAATTGTCAGCACAGTTGTCCTCTGTTCATAATGAATGGCATGATGGCGGCCCTCGAGGTTTATGAGCTTTTGATTCGAGTTAAGTCTGAATTGCCTAAGCATCTTGATACATGCGTACACAGGAGTACATAAAATAACTCATCACTTATCCAAGACCAGATTTCACGGTGTAATACACCGCCCCTTCTAAATGCTTAAGGGAATCGTTGAAGCGATGCGACGCATCTGACACGGTAGATTTTCAAGTACTATAAACCCGCAGCCTCCCTCAATGCCCACCCAAGAGTTACCTAAGAGCAATAGAATGGGACGGAGAAATACGCCATTAAATCTGGTCTTGGAGGAATTATTGATTGTATGATTATGAAATCGTTTATTTTTACTTCAGAGTTATGCAAGCAAACGGAGGCTAAAATAAGGCTTTCATTGCCTCAGGCCAAGTGAAGCTACTAATGAGCGAAGCAAGTGCAATTCTGGACTGACAAAACTAATTACGAACAGTTCGTGTTCAATGTATGAGAAAAGTCTAAAAAAGTACAATCGCCTGGAAAAGTAATAAAATCGGCTATCTTTTAAATTCTCTCCTTATCCAAAAACATAAAGGTGTGTGGCACTGGTCAAAGCGTCAGATCTGATAATCAAATTATTTCTTGAGAAAATGGAACATTGCTTTGAACGGCAGTACCACTGTCACTGCATATTGCCGGCTATGTAACGACAAACTCTGTTTGCAATTACAACGCCATTCGCTAAGTCTGTCCTCTCATTGCTTTAAAAGAGCGATCGAAGAACTCACGCGACGACGTTAATTTTAAAACTTTAAATATATGCGTTTCACCTCATCCATGAGGCAAAAAACAATCAATCACTTGTATTAGCACTGAACAATGAATTGGGTTGAACAAACAATGGTTTCGATCATATGCAAACTATATACATTATTGATCGCGTTCTTTAAAAAAAGGAAATAGCAAAAGCAGCGTTCCAAAGTTTACCTTAATAGCAGTTTGAAAGACCAAACGTGTGAATCTGAAGTAAATGTTGCAAATTTCGACCAATTCCCATGACACCAATGTGTTGGCGACTTGAATAATGGTTACCGTTGCCTTCCCCTCGTTCTTCTTTTAAGGAATTTTGTCATCTGTCCGGTTTTGCGTCGTTCTCGCTACAAACGGCGCGTGAAGTGGCCCACTCGCTGTAACTGTGAACAAACATGGACAGAACGGGTTTACGGTCTGGTGTCGTCCTGATTTTCTTAAGTCAAAGGCGGAAGTCAATCCATTACTTAAACCCTGGAGCGAAACAATTCTTACTGTCGGTAAAATAATTCTGAAGCTGTCAACGCTCTATGACAGCGGAATGCGTGTCATC